AAGTTGGTGAGGCTAATGGGCCGAAAGTCTGAGAAGGATGTTGGATCATCCTTTTTGGGGATGAGGATTAAGTTTGATCTCCTCATGTCTTTGGGGGGAATGATTCCAAGGAAGAACTCTCGGACAGCACTGGTAACATCCTCGCTGATAATATCCCAAGATTCTCTGAAGAAGGTTCCATTGAACCCATTCGGGCCAGCGCAACTATTAGGGTCTAGCTGCCAGACTGCATTTTTAATTTCTTCGGTACTTGGAAGATGGCAGAGCTTGTCATTATGGGTATCCTGGATGGTGTGAGGAATGTTTTGAATGATGACCTCCATATTAAGTGTGGGTTGGGGGCTGTAGAGGTCTTGAAAATAAGCTGCTCCAGCTTCCAATATCTCTTGGTCGTTGGTGACTAGGGATCCCTGGTTGTTGCGAATGGAGTGGATGTGTTGTTTGCGCCATCTAGCCCTGCATGCTGCATGAAAGAAAGAGGTGTTAGCATCTCCTTGTGCGATCCATTTGGCATTTGCTTTTTGTCTCCAGAAGGATTCCTCCGTTTGGATACATTAGAGCAGGTGTGCCTTGGATTCACCCCAAGAAGATCTAGTTTGGTTATTAGGGTTGTTTTCGTATTCCTCCTCTGCTGTTGTGCATGCCTCTTCTGCAAGTTTGACATTATTGAAGAAGTTTCCATAGGTGGTTTTGCTCCAAGAACTAAGAGCTTTTTGAGTAGCCCGGAGCTTGAGATAAAGCCCATGCATTCCCCTCCCTGTGTGAGTGGATTCCCAGATGTTTTTAACTATGGCGATGTAGGTTGGGTGGGAGGTCCAGAGATTAAGAAACCGAAAGGTTTTAGGCCTAGCGAAGGGTTGGAATGAGGCCTGGAGGAGAATGGGGCAATGATCCGAGGTGGTTTTGTTGAGGATGGAGTAGCAAATTTTGGAGAAGAGATTATCAGCCACTGTGTTGATGAGGAAACGATCAAGTGTTCTTGAAACTGTCCCATTTGATCTCTTCCCAGTCCATGTGAATAGTGGGCCCACATGCTGAGGTTGAAGGAGGTTACAATCCATAATACACGAGTTAAAGTCCTCCATGCTTGGGTAACAAGGCACGCTATTCCCTCTGTGTTCTCCCGGAGTTGTGATGGCGTTGAAATCTCCTCCAATGATCCAAGGGAGAGTGAGCGAGGAGGAGTGTGCACGAAGGGAGTTCCAAAGTGGGAGACGCATGTTTCTAGAGTGTAGGCCGTAGACTATGGAGAGCCAGAATTTGGTTTTGGAATGGATGTGTGAGAATAGACCATGTAAGACTTGGTGTTGTTCATGGTGTTGAATAAGGTTGAAGTGAGAGGAGTCCGAAAGAAGCCAGGCCTTGTTAGAGAGACCATGGACGTGGCTGTTGAGACCAAGTTGGTATCCCGAGTTTTGAATCTGGGAGGAATCAACCAAGGGTTCAAGGATTCCCAAGAGTTTAGTGTTGTGAGATTGGGCGAGTTGGTGAAGACGCTTGAGAGAGGATGTGATCCCTCTTACATTCCAGATGATAATATTCATAAGGAGAGGGGGGCATTTGGAGGTAGAGAGAGGGAGGCCCTGGCTTGGTGTCTAGTGACCATGTTAGATTTGGGTGGAAGATGTTTATTTCTGTGTTTGCGTGAGGTTTTGACGGGCTGAAAGGGTGTGAGATCAATGTGAGCCTCTCCTTGTGGTGCTGGAGGTAATTTTGGTGTTATGGAGAGGCTGAAGGCCTTGAGGTCTTTGAGTGAACAAGTTGGATATTTTTTGGCTAGTTTGGGACTGCATTCACTATCGGAGTGGTGGGCATAGTCTACAAAGGTTTTAGGGTTGGTGAAGTTAAGGTCACATTTGGGTGG